GCGGGCGGATCTGACGGCTGCTGAGCAGATGGGACCCGCGCTGGTCCGCGCGGAGAGGGAGGTGCGCGCGGAGAGGGAGCAGGCGTTGGCGATTGCTGGTCCTGGCGGTTAGCTGAGCGCGGCTCCCTCGTAGGCCGGCCTGTCTAGAAACAGCAGGAGAGGTTGGGCAGGTCGTGAGAATCCAAGGACTTCAACGCAACGATGGCTGATAAATCCAAGGCCAAGGCTGAACCTCCACCTCCAGCCAAACCCGGGGAAGCCAAGAAAGACGATAAGGCGGAAGCCAATGCCCCAAAGCCCCCAGTGCAAAAGTCGGTGCAGCCCAAGCATGAAGTGGGCACGAGGAAGGGGTGTCGCCGCTACCGGTGGGAATTCAAGGACAGCAATAAAGAGTTCTGGCTCCTGGGGCACGCCCCAGTCAAGATTCTGAGTTTGGTGAGCTGGACTGGTATGACTGGGTGGGGGTCCAATACCAGGGATGGGAGAGAGGAGGAATGGGTTCCAGAGGTCTTCAGGGGGGCTCAGAGGTTGTGAGAGACCTTTGCTGCTGGCTAAACTGTATGTCTCACTGCAGGGCTGCTTGATAGCTGCCATGATAGTGTACTCATCAATCCCCGTGCACCCCATGTTGACACTGGTCATCGTCTTGGAGATATGCTTCTTCTGCTTCTTCATTATCCTCTACAGCTTGGCCATCCAAAGATATGTGCCCTTTATCCTGTGGCCTGTTACTGTAAGTGAGGGATGGTGGGGCGTGTCCACGGCCTGTATGCTGATCGTGTATGTGTCTTGACTCCTGAAAAGTGAGCAGAGAGACACGCCTCACTCCCATATTTGTGCCTGGGTTATGGGCTCAGTAACCTCTGGCGAGGCCTAGGCAGGGGCGGCTGGGCGGAAAGGAATGACCAGGCAGAGAATGCTCCAAAAAAGCATAGCTGTACGTTCAACTGATAATGAGGAACTCTTCTACCTGGTGGTCAAACAAAGACGGTCTGAGACTTTGCTCTTCTTGGAGGGAAAGGAGATGTTGCAACCAGTTGTTCCTCCTAACCCTGTGCAAGCTCACACCTGACTGGGGAGATCACCCCAGAAGGTAACCCACCCTCAGAATTCAAAAAAGAAAATCCAGCTGGGCACAGTAGCTTATACCTGTAATCCCAGCACTTTGGGAGGCCCAGGTTGGAGGATTGTTTGAGCCCAACAGTTTGAGACCAGCCTAGCAACATAGCAAGACTTTGTTTCTACAAAAAAAAAAAAAATCAAAAATTAGCCAGGTATGGTGGCATACACCTATAGTCCCAGTTACTCAGGAGGCTGAAGCAGAAGGATCACCTGAGCCAGGAAGTCAAGGTTGTGGTAAACCATGACCATGCCATTGTACTCCACCCTGGGTGACAGAGTGAGACCTCAGCTCAGAAAAAAAGAAAAAGAAAAGAAAATCAATCTCCTATAAATCAATAAGACAAAATGAGAATTTTTTAATAAATATTTTGAGTCTTAGTCTCACTCTGTCATCCAAGCCGGAGTGTAGTGACATGAACATGGCTACCACAGCACCGACCTATTGGGCTCAGGTGATCCTTCCGCCTCAGCTTTCCAAGTAGCTGAAACTACAAAGATATACCACCACGCCCAGCTAATTTTTAAAAATTTATTGTAGAGATGAGGTCTCACTAAGTTGCCCAGGCTGGTCTCAAACCCCTGGGCTCAGGCAATCCTCTTGCCTCCGACTCCCAAAGTGCTGGGATTATAGGCGTGAGTCACCGCACCCAGCTAAAATGAGAATTTGTTAAAAGTCCACTTCTAAAGCAGCCTTAGCACTCCAGTAACTATCCTCATAAAGGCTGTTTGGTTCAGAAAGATGTTTATCCAAACCAGTCATCTAATGGAATGAGACAGAGCTTGGCAATTTGCTAAATCACTCCTAGTTTCTGTTTCCTCATCTGTAACATGGGGGCAGTGATGACCCCTTGTGGAATTCACATTTAGTCCTGAGGAATAAATGTAAATTGCTTAACACTGTGCTTGAGGACTCATGGACTTGAATCCCCTCATCACATGTATAATCACAAGGCACACCCATACCCTAAGTCAGCTGATGAAGATCTCAATTCCTCTTATTCACTGCACATTCACAGCCTGCCTCCAAAGGCTCAGAATGGCCAAGGAACTTGCCCCCGGGTCATTCAGTTAGTAAGTGGCAGAAAAAAGATTCAAACCCAGCTCTGTCAGTACAATTTGTCCTACTTCCTTGTTAAAAGCTATTAGGGCCCAGGGATCCATAGATCTTGCTGGGGTAGATAAGGAGCTCCAGGAAAAGGAGAAAAGAGAAGAGGGCCAAATAAGGACTCTCATAGAAGGGACAAACCGAGGATAAGGTAAAAGAACAGGCAGAGAACAAGTTCCCAGTCGAGGAGCCTGAGAAGATAACTTTTAGTTCCAGCAATATGAAAAACCAATAAACCCTGAAAATGCTACTGCTGTACCTGAAAATACTAGGGGGGACATGTAATCAGTACTGCTTAAACTGAATGGCTGAGCTGGCAAAAGAGACACACAGGTGCCAGAAATTGTATATAGAATCAGTGATCACATAAGCTGCAAAATGTAGGTGGGACTGGCCCATGATGTATGAGGGGAGACCACCCCAAAATGGAATTTATTTATTAAAATTGTATATTTATTCTTACATGTTTAAACTTCAGTCACCTTCAAAGTAGTCTCTGTTTAATGCAGTATACCTATTAAGATGCTTTTTCCATTGCTCAAAACAGTTTTTGAACTTGTCCATTTTGATGCCTTTTAGTATTTCTGCTGGGTTTTAGTTTCCCTTTGAGGATTTTTTTTCATCCAGGGAAACAAACAAACAAAAAAAGTCGCTTGGGTGAGATCAGGTGAATAGGGAGGGTGGAGCATGGGAGTCATGTTATTTTTTGGTCAAAACTGCTGAACACTCAGTATGGTGTGGGCAGCTTGTTTGTGTAAATCACCCATCATGAAATGGGCAAAAGCGTTGAAAGAATCTCCAAAACAAAAATTCACTGAAACCAGATGTAGCCTCTAAAAACAACACTAGTTGTTGGTACACTGATGCCAGTGGGTTCCTAGAACACTTACCTAATGGGGGAAGCCTGTACTATAAGGAACTCACCCTCCAAAAAAACTTCCCAGATTGCTGGGGTCAGTGGCTCAACCTGTAATCCCGCGCCTTGGGAGGCTGAGGTGAGTGGGTTCGAGACCTGCCAGGGCAACTTGGCGAGACCTCATCTCTACAATAAATCAAAAAATTAGCTGGGCATGGTAGTGCGCACCTGTAATTCCAGCTACTTGGAAGGCTGAGGCGGAAGAATCGCTGGAGCCCAGCAGGTCGAGGCTGCGGTGGCCAGGAGTGGCCACTGCACTCCAGTATGGGTGACAGTGAGACTCCAACTGAAAAAAAAAAAAATTCCCAGCTTTTTGGGAGTCCCCCATCATAGAAGAACTGTATGAACTAATAATAAATATATTTTAAATGATTGCAGACATAAGCCCTTAGAAAAGAATAAGATATTATGAGGACAGAATAAACAGATTTTTAAAAGTACAATGTCTAGAATAGAAAATATAGTTATTGAAATTAAAATGGCAATAGATAAGTTTGAAAGCAAGTCAGACACAGCTGAAGAGAGAATTTGTGAACTGAAAAGTATGGGGAAATTGCCCAGAATATAGCACTAGGAGATAAAGAGAGAAAAAAGATAGAAGTTGAGACATAAAACATGAAGTTAGAATGTCCGTCAAGAGTTGTCAAGAAGCTGGGCACCGGTAGTCCAAGCTACTTGGGAAGCTGAGGCAGGAGGATTACTTGAGCTCAAGAGTTCAAGGCTGTAGTATACTATGATTGCACCTGTGAATAGCCACTGCACTCCAGCCTGAGCAAATAACAAGACCTCATCTCTAAAAAAAAAAGAGTTATCAAGATAATGAAGGAGAGGAAATAGTCATAATGATTATGACTAAGAACCTTCCAGATTTAATGAGACTGGTGTCACTGAAAATGGCACAGTAGGAAATTACAAAACTTTGTTCCTCTATTATAACAATGAGTAAATTGGCAAAAACCATCAGAACCAACTTTTTCAGAACTCGAATCTAACCAGAAACTTAGAACAACCAGGAAAATGCATAATAAAGAAAGAAGCTACTGAATTTTGGTAAGAGAGAATTATGGATTTTCTTTTCTTTCTTTCTTTTTTTTTTTTTTTTGGCTAATTTTTAATTTTTTTTTGTGGAGATGAGGTCTCGCTGTGTTGCCTAGACTGGTCTCGAATTCCTGGACTCAAGCAATCCTCCCACCTTGACCTCCAAAAGTGCTGGGATTACAGGCATGAGTCATCCTGCCTGGCCAATTATGGACTTTAATTTACCTGCCTGTCATCCCTGACTCCCCAGATTGGCAGTGGCCATGAAGTGGTCCACATTCCTGACAAAGCCTGCCGGTGGCAAAGGGAACAATACAGACTTTGTTCTCAAGGAATTATGGCTGCGTGTTTATTTTGACCTGTCTGGTGACTACCTGAGAGATTAGTCTGGGAATTTTCCTTTGTTTCACTTACCTCAGAACTTTCTCAGGGATGAAGCAGCCTAGCTAATTTTTTTTTTTAAGTCAGAGTCTCACTCTGTCACCCAGGTTGGAGTATAGTGGCATGATCATGGCCACTGCAGCTTCTACCTGCTGGGCTCAGGTGATCCTTCTGCCTCAGCCTTCCAAGCTGCTGGGACTACAGGGGCATACCACCACACCCGGCTAATTTTTAAATTTATTGTAGAGACCAGCCTAGTAAACATAGTAGGACCCTAAGGATTAGAGTAGTGGGACTGTAGCTCAGTCCATTAAGTCAGATTTTTTTCATTTTAACAGAGGGTGTCACTATGTTGCCTGGGCTGGAGTGCAGTGGCATGATTGCAACTCATTCCAGCCTCCAACTTCTTCTCACTTCAGCCTCCCAAGTATCTGGGACTATAGGTGTGTGCCACCACACCCAGCTAATTTTGTTGTTGTTGTTATTGTTGCTGTTTTTGCAAAGACAAGGTTTCGCTATGTTGCCCAGGCTGGTCTCAAACTCTTGGGCTCAAGCAATCCTCTTACCTCAGCTTCCCAAAGTGCTGGGATTTCAGGTGTGACCCACCACTCCTGGCCAGACTTATTTTTAAAGAAACTTGAAGTAGCCGGGCTCGGTGGCTCAGCCTGTAATCCCACGCCTTTGGAAGGCTGAGGTGAGTGGATTGCCTGAGCCCGTGGGTTCGAGACCTGCCTGGGCAGCGAGACCTCATCTCTACAATAAATCAAAAAATGAGTCAGGCGTGGTAGCGTGTACCTGTAATTCCGGCTACTTGGAAGGCTGAGGCAGAAGGATCACCGGAGCCCAGCAGGTCGAGGCTGCGGTGGCCGGGAGCGGCCACTGCACTCCAGTCTGGGCGACCGAGTGAGACTCCAACGCAAAAAAAAAAAAAAGAAACTTGAAGTGAATATTGTAAGACATTAACATCTATTAAATTTCAGTGGTTTGTGGCCTGGTGGACATAGGCATGGGAGTAGGATGCTGTATTATTTTCTGTATGTTTGAAACGTATCAAAATTTAAAATGAAAAGAACAGGCCTGAGACAAAGTGACCAGGGAAGGACAACCAGCAGCAAATGGCATTCTAGAAACCAAGAGGAATGATGGGTCTATTCCACACTGCAGCCTCGGCTGCCTCTCACCCCAGGAGTGACCAGAGAGGAAGTCAACCTGCTGTGACTGCGGTTTGGCCAACTCTGAGAAGTTTGGCTGTGCCTTGTCAGTAGGGGGAAGGAAACAAGTATGCTATAAGGGCGAGACTGAAGCCCTATGGGAGGGGAGAAGTACTGTGGAGGAGAAGGTAGCACAGCCTTGCAAGGAGGGGTGGGCATCAGGTAGTAGGGCCAAGGGCTGTGGGAGGGAGTGTGTGGAGGCAGCTACTAGGCCCCCAGAGAGGCACCAGAGTCCATCAGAGCCTCCTACCGGCAAGGCAGCCCACGCAGACTCCAGTGGGGAGCTGGCCTTGGGAGCAGAAAGATAGTGGGGGAGGAGTCCTCAAAGGAGACATCATTAAGTTGTATAGTTGTGCATTTATGTAAATGAGTATTGTGGGAAGAATCATAACCAGACACCAAATGTGTGATTTCACAGAGAGATGGAGACCCCATGCCTTCACAGGCTCAAGTCTACAGATAATTGAGTATCTTGGACTTTGGGTCTCAACTCAAAAAGTTCAACTGGAGGCCCACTGGTATATCCACCTAGCCTTTAATATACATTAAAATACATACCTAGGGGTATCTCATTTATTTTTTTTTTTTTTTTATTTATTTATTTTTTGAGTCGGAGTCTCACTCTGTCGCCCAGACTGGAATGCAGTGGCCGCTCCCGGCCACCGCAGCCTCGACCTGCTGGGCTCTGGCGATCCTTCCGCCTCAGCCTTCCGAGTAGCTGGAATTACAGATACATGCTACCATGCCCGGCTGATTTTTTGATTTATTGTAGAGATGAGGTCTCGCCAAGTTGCCCAGGCGGGTCTCGAACCCGCGGGCTCAGGCAATCCACTCACCTCGGTCTCCCAAAGCGCGGGATTATAGGCTGAGCCGCCGAGCCCGGCTTACATTTATTTTTTAAAGTCATGTGGAAGTTTGCAAATCATTTCTTTGGCAGAAACTAGGCTGGATCCAGCATTGATGGGGCCTTGGCTCTATCTAAGGCTGATTCATCTCTCCCATCTTCAGGACCTTCTCAATGACCTGATCGCCTGTGGGTTCCTTGTGGCAGCCATCGTCTTTGCTGTGAGAATTCGACAAACCTTACCACTGTACTATATAATTGGTTTGGTGAGTCTTTCCAAGTTGGGATGTGTATTTGCTCTAATTCACCTTTTGGAGGATGAATGTTTTCCCCTGTTTAAGGAAAGGGCTTCATTTTTTTTTCACAAAAATATTGGAATCATAAGAAAATGAAAAAGTAAAGTTGAGGCCGGGTACAGGTGGCTCACACCTGTAATCCCTGCACTTTGGGAGACCAAGGCAGAGGATCACTTGAGCCAGGAATTCCAGGCTGCAGTGAGTTATGATTGTGCCACTGTACTCTAGCCTAAGCAACAGAGAGAGACCCTGTCTCTTAAAAAAGAAAAAAGCAAAGTTGGTAAATGTTTCTTATGGAGCTGCCATTTAAACAAAGATGATGTCCAGGGAGCCAGCAAGGGTTCACTGAGCCTTGGGGTCTATGACATTGACTTGGGCTTTTTTCCTGTAGCTTTCAACCCCAGAGCAAAGAGCCCCACCCTGGCTAGGTTTTTTGGGGTTTTGTTTTTTGGGGGTTTTTTTGGAGTTGCAGTCTCACTCTGTCGCCCAGACTGGAGGGCAGTGGCATGCTCAAAGCCAGCCCAGCGTCGACCTGCTGGGCTCAGGCGATCCTTCCACCTCAGCCTTCCAAGTAGCCAGAACTACAGGCGTGCACTACCACACCCGGCTAATTTTTTAATTTATTGTAGAGATGAGGTCTCGCCAAGTTGCCCAGGCTGTTCTCTAACCCGTGGGCTCAGGCAATCCCCTCACCTCGGCCTCCCAAAGTACTGGGATTACAGGCTTGAGGCACCACGCCCAGCACTGGCTAGGTTTAAAGAGAAAAAAGAAAGAAATCAGAGGACAGGCCAACGGGAACGGAGAAAGATGAAGCAGGAGGTGAGAGCCAACTCAAGCCTCTCAGGGATGGTGGTTTGAGGGGACAAAGGGATGTGTTAAAATAGCACCTACTGATGAACTAGAATGGAAACTTGCCCCCTTCAGAATGAAGAGCTAAAGTAATGAGGATCCATGTGTTTTCCAGGTCCTTATGGGCGTGGCTGCATTTTTTGCTTTAATTGATACCTGCCTTCAGAGAAGCCACTTCAGAGGCAAGAAGACCAGAAAGAATGTGCTGGTTCCTCCTCCCACCAAGGGAGCACCCGCAGCACCTACTACAGGACAAGAGGAAGCAGGAAAGGGCAAAGAAGCGGAAAAGGGCAAAGAAGCAGCAAAAGGCAAGGAAGCGGGAAAGGGCAAGGAACCGGCCAAGGGCAAAGACAAGGGCAAAGACAAGGGGAAAAAGTAATAGGGGGAAACTCCTGTAGTCAGAAATGGCTGTGCATTTTACAGCAAAATTTGTTTCCACTGTCTTCCTTGTCTTCTTTCTGGAATGTTCTCTTTTCCACTTTAATAACCACCTTTGCTTGGAAAAGAAAAATCTCTTTAAAGAGACTCTAAACACTTAAAGTTGATGTAAACATTGTTTTGTTCTTTCAATGCAAGTTACTCAAAGTCATGGTGCAGAGGGCAAGGTCAAAGCAGGGCCCAGGAACCAGGGCCCTCTGGAGGTGCTTGCAGGGCATGGAGGGTATAGGGGAAAAGAAGTGTGGGTGATGCCAGAGGGGCCAGAGGAAAATGGAAACTGGAAAAAAAAAGGATGCATTTTGTTCACATTGATATTTTTATTTTACTTTTTAAAAAGCATCCAAGCGATTTCTATGAGAAAAACGAGCTTGTTGACCTTCCTTGCTCTTACTTTTCAGTTTAACATAGATCCTCACTGAAGTTCACCCAAGGGGAGCAGGGAGAAGGTACCGTCTCGTCAGAGCTCGGGGCTTTCAAGGGCCTAAGTCAGGCTGGTATATGGACTTAGCAGGGCAGGCACATGGAGGAGCCTGGGGGATACTTGTGTCAGAGCTAGTCAGCCAGCCCTCTGGGGCCTGGAGTGTCTTCCTCCACTGAGGACCCAAGCATAAGCCCTGAGCCAGACTCCATCTGGACCCTGGAGCTCTGGTCCTCACAGGCAGTCCTTGCAGGTCCCTCCGTCAGAGAGGGTCCCTCTCTCACTGGACAGTCCAGCCATCCTGGCAGGAGCAGGACCATCCTCATGAGCGGAAAGTGAGGCCCTAAACTGATACACAGGGAGCTGGAAGGAGGTCTGTAGGCAGCCCCCAGCCCAGCTGGGCAGGCAGGCTGGGAGGGTTCACTGAGCCTTGGGGTCTATGACATTGACTTGGGCCTTTGTCTAAGTGTCATGGGGATCACTGAGGGCAAGGAAGTGGCAGCTCTACTTTCCACCAAGAGAAGGTCACTGACTTGGCTATGGCTGCAAAGGTGTAAAATAGGAAGGAGACCACTGCCTGTCCTTCAGCTGGGGGAGGCCGGCAGCTGGGCAGCACCTGGGGGTGAAGACCTGGAGCTTGGCTAGCCCCGCCATGGCTCCTGAGCCCTTCAAGCCCACTGCTCCCTCAACAACAACAACAAATAGAAAGAGCCGCCTTTTCAAAAGGAGGCAAGCTACTGCATTCACTAAATGAAATACACTACTCAGCAAAATAAAAGAATAAACCACTGATACAACATACATGAATCTCACATCATACTGAGTGAAAGAAGCCAGACACCAAAGGACATACCATACAATTCCATCTCTAAGGAGCTTAGGAACAGGTGAAAATATGGTGAAGGAAATTAAAACAGTGATTGCCTCAGAGGGTGGAGGTTGAGGATTGAGTACAAAGGGGCATAAGGAAACTTCTGGGGGCTTTGGAAGTGTTTTATATCTTTATTGGAGGAGCTGGTTGCACAGGCACACCCGTTTGTCAAAACATTCAACTATATACTTAAGGTCTGTGCATTGCTGGGCATGGCGGCTCACGCCTGTAATCCTAGCATTTTGGGAGGCTGAGGTGGGAGGATTGCTTGGGCCCAGGAGTTTGAGTCAAGCTTAGGCAGTATAGTGAAACCTCATCTCTTAAAAAAAACAAAAAAATATCTGTGCATTTCATTGTATGTAAATTTTATCTAAAAATGTAAGCAAAATATGTGCTCACATAAACTTTTTGGATCACTCCTCTCAACCCTTGAGGGTGGACACTCTATAGCAGACAGAGTTTCTCCATACATAGACAAAGCATGCAAATTCCAGGGAATAACAAGGTGTGAAGTGGAGGCTGGGGCTGAGCATGACTCGAGGCAGTGTCTGTCATCCTAAGAAGAGGATCCCTGGACAGGGATGGACAAGGACGTTGGCTTGAGGAAGGTGCCCCTTCGGATCAAAACTGCATCAGGCAGGTATCTGCCAGGTTCAAGGAATGGCCTAAATGTGGGGCGGATCACCTACAGATCTGGTTGAAATGCAAATTCAAAAAAAAAAAAAAAAAGAAAAAAGTCTAATTAGTACACACAAAATAAAGATGGATACGGTAACCTGAAAACAAAAGAGACAGCAAAAAGGGTAACCAGCAAACCAGAGTTCTTGGGGGGGGGAAAAAACCTGTGACAAAAATTTTAAAATTTAATCGAAGAGTTGAAATAATAGAATAGACCCCAACTTGTGCTGTGAAAAAGAAATGATCTGGGTGCAGTGACTCACACCTGTAATCCCAGAATTTTGGGAGGCAGAGACAAGAGGAGCCCATGGGTTCAAGACCATTCTGGGCAACTTGATGAGACCTTGGCTTTTTTGATTTTTAATAAATCAAAAAATTATTCAGGCATGGTGGTGCATGCCTGTAGTTCCAGCTACTAGGAAGTCTGAGGTGGAAGAATTGCCTGAGCCCAGCAGGTCAAGGCTGTGGTGGCCATGAGTGTGCCACTGCACTCCAGCCTCAGTGACAGAGTGAGACTCCAACTCAAAAAAAAAAAAAAAAAGAAAAAGAAAGAAAAAAGAAAAATAAAGGAAATCTTCCAGAAAGTAAAATAAAAAGGCAGGCAGAAAATTTTGTCAAGATATGGAGGATATATCCAGGACGATTTATCCAGTCATCATCTCAAAGGAATCCCAGGAGGTGAGAACAGAGAAACTAGAAGGAAGAAAATAAACATGAAAATTTTTCCCTCAACTAAAGAAAAGTCAAAGTCTGAAGATAGAAAGGGGTCCCCCAAGTGCTGAGCAGGTTTACTGGAAAAAGATCCTCACACATCTCTTGGTGAAATACCAGAACTCTAAAGATAAAATCCCAAAAGCTTCCAGAGAAAGAGAAACCACAAAAATATGTTATTGGCAAGGGAACTAAACCAAACATTAAAGGCCATTCTGGATATTAGAAAATAATGTAGGCCAGGCAGAGTGGCTCACACCTGTAATCCCAGCACTTTGGGAGGCTGAGGCAGGAGGATTTCTTGAGGTCAGAAGTTCAAGACAAGCCTGGATAACTTAGTTCTCTTTAAAAAATTTTTTTAAATTAAATAAAATGGGAAAAAATGGAGCAACAAATTCAAAGTTCTAAGGGAACTAGAAATCAAGTAGGAAGGCAAATAAAAAACAACTTTTTAAATAGGTACTGACTCCAAGATTACCATTGACCAGCACTTAACCAAAAATAAAAAATAAAAATATATGGTACAATTTTTTTTTAAATTCTAAGGAGAGTCAAACCCAACGGGAAGCCAGAAGGCAAGAGAAGCACTTCACAGAGGTCAGCCTACTGGAGAAGAGGAAATGGGAAGTGGATCCAAGGATAGGATGGGAAAAATCGGGACACTCAGCATAGTCATCAATCTGTACCTAAACTTATTCTAAGTTTTAGCTATAAAATGAACTACTAGCCGGGTTCAGTGGCTCAGCCTGTAATCCTGCGCCTTTGGGAGGCTGAGGTGAGTGGATTACCTGAGCCCGCGTGTTCGAGACCCACCTGAGCAGCGAGACTTCATCTCTACAATAAATCAAAAAGTCAGCCGGGCGTGGTAGCGCATGCCTGTAATTCCGGCTACTCGGAAGGCTAAGGCCAAAGGATCGCTGGAGCCCAGCAGGTTGAGGCTGCGGTGGCCGGGAGCGGCCACTGCACTCCAGTCTGGGCGACAGACTGAGACTCCAACTCAAAAAAAAAAAAAAAAATGAACTACTAAAAATTCAGTGAGACAAGGCTTATTTAATAATGTAGAATTTGATGAATGCTTGTTTTATTTGCTCAAATTGTTGACAAAAAGTCAAACTCTGAAATATTTCAAGAGATTTAATTCTGAGCCAAATGTGAGTGACCATGGCCCAGAGTACAATCTCAAAAGACACGCCCAAGGTGGTTGGGTTACAGTTTGGTTTTATACACTTTAGGGAGACAGATGTTACAGACATTGTAAGGATAAACTGAGGCAAGGGTAGTCTGGTGACATAGGAATAAAGCAAAGATTTGCAAAAAGAAACAAAGTTCATTATTCACTTTCCACAGACGGAAAGGGGCCAGTGCTCACAGGCACGTAAGGATTATCCTTTAAGAGAAGAGGGATTTTAAAGTTTTTATAAGGAAGCAGGGCTATTAAAAATCTCTAGCAGCTACATTCTTGGGTGTTGATAACACCAGTCCTGCTTTCTTTGCCATTGTCAAGGCAATTAGTCTTGATTCCAGGTGGTGGGCGGTGAGCAGTCACAGGAGGCCGATTACAAAAGGTGAGGTGAACTTGGTCTTGCATTGCCTGGGAAACAGACACTTAGAAAAAAGAGTAATTAGTACAAAATACACTTAAAAGTTATAAAACAATTGTCAATAGCTATCTCCAGTGAATTGGATTTGTCCTTGGCTAATAATTAGAGGGTGGGGTGTGTGTGAAGCACAATAACTAACTAGCAAAGTATGTGGAAAGAAGAAAAATAAAACTCAGTTAAATTGACTGCTTTAAAATGACTATACTTTAGCTAAGGCGACTCTATTTTGATTTTACCAACTTTACCCTTTCAGACATCTTGAAGTGGGGTGGGTGGAGGAACACCTATAGGTCATAGGTGGAGTCAAAGATTTTCTGATTGGCAACTGGTTGAAAGAGTTAAGCTGTCCAAATGAAGAATTTGAAGTCAGTAGAAAGAAATGCTTGAGTTAAGGGGGATTGTGGAAGCCAAGGTTCTTGTTATGTAGGTGAAGCCTCTAAACAGCAGGCACACATTCTCAGGACCTACTGGTGACATGTGCCATGGGTGTAGGTCCTCAAGTTGGCCAGAACAAACCTCCACCATCCCTCCCCCTGCTCACTTCAAGATGTCTAATTAGTAGGTCTGACTCTTCGCAAGAAAGGAGATTCTGTACAGATGCAAATTTCCCCAAGAGAAGGCTTTGTGGGACCATTCCAAAATACATCAAAGAAATATATCTTGGAGTAAAATATCTGTTATTTCCTTAGGGCCTGTTATCTGTCACATGGTGCTGTACCAGATTCAGGTTGGAATTTGGTGTCTTCACAGAGTGTGATTCATCAGTCTTATGATCTCTAGTGTTAATGCTAGTCAGTTATGGGAAGCACTATAACAAGGTATCCAACCTCCTTTCCATC